TACTTTGGCCTTAAAGTAGTCCCTCTTTGGGTATGCTGGGGCCGAAGTATCTATTATTTGGGTACATGGACCGTAAGGGGGCTACCTATAGTCTCCATTGCAGTTCCTTGTTTTGGTTAACCGTTTACGTTTAGGATCCTATAGTACAAATTCGGTTAACCAAAAAAAGAAACTGCAATGGAGACTACAGGTAGTATTGCTACTACTGCTACTGCTACAACGGATAATACGATCATGATCAGTACTTGTATGCATTTCTATCATGGACGTTACGATTGCTATTCTAGGTGTTTTGCCCCAAACCCTAAACCCTAAACCCTAAACCCTAAACCCTAAACCCTAAACCGTGACCCTAAACCGTCAGTGCTCCGGGCTTCGAGGTTTATGGCTTGTAGTCTTCAGGGTTCGGGGATGGGACTTGTCGGGCTTCGGGGGTTTAGGGTTTAGGGTTTAGGGTGAGAACGCACCGTCTAATGTAGGGTTTGGGACTTTCGAAGGCTCCAGGGAATCCGAGTGGGAAGTTGAGTGTTGTCGGGTTTTGAGGGTCAAGGGATGTTTACCCCAAAGGGTCCATGTACCCAAATAGGAGATACTTTGGCCTTAAAGTACAGCTGACGATGCGAGAATAGAGAGTCGCAGGGATTGTGTGCGGTAAGTTCGGTAGCACAGGCAGACTTCGGACTTTGTGATAGGTCCTCTGATAGGTTCAGTCGCCGACGCAACCCTGTGGCTGTCTCCTGCGTAGCTGCCAGGTCCTCCATCTCAGACTCTTCGAAGGTCGTCGCAAACCTCGACATATCACCGTGACCGCACACCCTCTCAAGCCTGCGAGTGGCTTCATAGAGTTACGTAAATCCCCCATACCTGAAAATGAAAAACATCCACAATCTACGGCGGGCACCAAACGAGAGCTCCCGAAAGCGTCCGCTCTGTCGTCGATATTGTTGTTGAGTGTTGTTGTTGCTCTTCCGGTGGCTATGGCTATGACCCTCATGTTTTGTTTTGTGATTGTGGCGGTGATTTCGGGTCCTCGGGTTGCCGTGAGTGGTAGTTGTGCAGTCTTCTTGTTATCACCATCCCTGACCTCATATGCCCGAGATACCCTGCTTGTACCAAGCCTAAACGGTCCTAACTCCATCTGTTCATGCACCCAGCTAGTGTGCACTTGGGCCGCAAAGTTACTGTAAGGTCAGCCCGTGTATTCCCTACACAACCAACTCTAGGCAAACATGCCCCAAAATGTTCTGAACCCTCTCTTGATGATTCTGGCCCCTATATCAATTCCCCAAACCTACTCCGCAATCTCAGGGCCCACCAGGACGACGAAGAGTAGCCAGTCTTGCCGGCCTGCACCGGAAAGCATGCAGAAGAATCAGATGCCGCAACGACCCCTAGACCCTAAACCCTAAACCTTAAACTCCTTAAACCCTAAACCCTAAACCCAAAACCTGCCAGATTCCCGAACGACCCTCGACTTCTGCCGTGGCCTGCACGGATTGACTCTTGCCTCTGCCACTGAGGCTGTCAGGGAGGTCTTGCACTCGTCCTCCTGGTGATATGGGCGTGCAACATTGCCCCAAGACCCTGAAACTTGGGACAACTGTGCTGAACTTAGACCCCTAGCAAACATTATAATTTTAGCTGTTTCTTAGGGTTTATAGTAGCCAAAGATTTTAAAAATATTTCTAAGTACCCCTAAGAGAAGACGGCTGTATTTCCAGCGCCAAGCAACCTGCAGGGAAGACAAACAGCATTGTCAAGCAGAGTCAGACACAGACAAACCCTAAGGGTCCATGTATTCATATAGCATGTACATGGGCCCTAAAGTACCTATATAGGGACTACATTAAGGCCAATGTATATACTATATGAGCACATGGACCCTTAGACAAAGGACACCCCAGCAGGAATGGCAAAAAAGACGCTTACTGCGTTAGAGACAAGGAGGGGGAGAGGAAGGGAGCGAGAGTGAGAGCGAGAGCGAGAGATTGCTTCGAGGCAGGCCGCAGCTCAAGGGTTCTCATCCCACAGCTGTTGACAGCATGGCCTATCACCGCAACAGGCCCTGAGCCGCAGCTGCACAGTATCCTACGGAGTTCGAATGAAATCTACTGAGCTTGGGAGCTTGAGATCAACATAGGGGATTTAGACTTCTGCTTGCCTTGCAATAAGAGTCGAAAGCCCTCGGCCTTCAGCCCCGAATGCACATCCTACCCGGCGGGACTGGAATCCTCTTCCGAAGACCTGCAACGGAACTGCGCAACCCTACCCGTTTAAACCCTAACCCTGAACCCTAAGCCAACCCTAATCAATCGTAACTGATTACCTGGACTCCGAAAGTATTTTATGAGTATTGGGCCATTATTTGACCTACTTTGGGGGGTTTTGGTAGAGCTTACCCTAAACCCTAAATCGTAAAGGGTGACGACATGTCGCGTGCCTCCAAGACGAGCGGCTTGCTGCTCTGCGCCTCAAGCCGGGTTTCAGAAACGGTTTGGGGTTTGGGTTTAGAGTCTAGGGTTTAGGGCATGTAATGGATGTAGGGGCCTGAGTGATTAGAATAATGCTATTTTGGGGCTCCTTCATAGTATAGATCTATAATAAGGAACCCTAAACAATAATATATATATATATATAGGTAATTATTCAGGCTTCTATATTAGGGATTTATTGTACAGGATTTCACGGGGTTTAAACAGCTTTCGAAGATCCGTCACTCCCCGATTGCCTTTACCCGATAACCCCGGTCTAGTCATTCAGGGGCCCCTAGACGAAGTCTAGGAAACTTTACTTGCCGGTCTCTGGTTGTCGGATTGTTGAAAAGGCTTGCTACAAATCCCACCCCGGTGGAGCTGCGAGCAGTTTCAAGACCTTTTTCACGTCTCAGGGGTTCCCCAAGCCCGAATCTAAAAAGGGGTTTATCTGGACTCGGGTGTTCAATGATCAGTCCGCTGGCCACAGGCAAAGTGGCTGGCGAAGCGGAACACTCTGCCGATTGTACAGTTGCTCAATCCAAACCACGACAGACCTGCCAGATATGCCGAAATCGAAGTTTCCCAAATCAGGTCGGCGTGACAAGTTCGAAAAGCTGAACACCACCCGGTTGCGTGCAAACGAACACGGCGATCTCTTGATGACTGTAAGCTTTCCACGAGAGTCGTCGTCAAACAGGCTTAATGTAGGGGCCTTCATAATTAGAGTAAGGTTTTGGGGCCCATTATACTATAATTCTAATAAAGAACCCCCGAAATAGTATTGGCAATTATTTAGGCACCTACGTTACCATGATGAGAGCTGTAACTTGTAGGAAAGCTGTGAAGTGCGGTGAACACACATCAATGCGGAGAAGACCCGACGCTTCCCTCTGCCGAGCCGGGCACCCTCTGCTAAGCACTCCAAGGAATCAGCAAGGTGCGATGATTTGGGCTTGCTGCACGCCAGCCACAAAGATGACACAGAAACCGACGAATGTCCGCTAGCCACGAAGATGTCGACGCAGCGTGGCCGGCGACTTATCCAGGAATACATGGCTCAGCTGTTGTGGAGTGACACCGGTTGTTTCTGGAAGTAGCTCGCGGTGGGCAAGAGGGCTTCCCAAAGCCCTCCAGAAAGTCCTAAGCCCAGGTCTTGAATCCTAGCACCCCAAATCCCCGAAACCCCAAACACACTAAACTCTTACTCTTACATCCGAGATATAGTACGCCCAAGGCTCTAAAAGGCTAAGCCCTCAACCCTCAACCCTTAACCCTTACATCCTAAAACCCTAAAACTCTAAGCCCTAAACCCCAAAGTCCCAACCCCTAAACCCTGAATCCTAACGATTTAGGGTTTAGGCTTTGGGGTTTAGACGCTTACCCGTAAAACAGAACCGAGATCCACGCTCGATGAGCTTGACGTGTGTTGGGAATCTTTGCCGCCAGACGCCCTGGGAGGGGCTTTGGGTCTACATAAGGTCTATAGGGTTTAGGGTTTAGGGTTTAGGGTTTAGGGTTTAGGGTTTAGGGTCTAGGGTTACAGGATGAACCTAAAGTTTCGGGCCTCGGGTTTTCATATGTTGAGCTTGAGAATTGAGCTTCGGGCTTTTCCAAGGTCTAACTCGTAAAAGCCTGCTGGTGTCATGTGGGGGTTTCCGAAAATAGGGGACCCAAGTATAGTACCTTAAATAATAGGATCCTTATTATAAGGACCCCAAACTAAGGTACCCCCTATTCTTGGAAAGTCTCATGTTCATTCATGCCATCAGTCACGACTCAAAGGAGACTTCCTGGTTCAGGAATGCTAGCCAAAGTCCAACTACCCGGACGACCCTAAGCCCTAAACCCCTGTGCCTAAACCCACACCCTAGACCCCAAACGAGGGACAGGCATGAACCACGTTTTCTCGTCGCCGGGTTGCAGGGATATCTGCGACTACCCCAAGCCCTAAATCGTCCGGAAGGCTTCAACTCGGAGAGTCCTTTTGTGGTCCTAAGCCCTAGTATAGTGGTCTCAATCGCTGGAAACTACATTATTTCATAAACAGAACAAGGGACTCTAAGGAATAACATCGGTAGTTGTTTAGGCTTCTATCTTGATTACACCCTAAATATCCCTAAGCCCTATAAGCCCTAAGCCATGTATCCCAAGCCCCCAGCACGCACCCTTTCCTGCAACAAACTCTCCGCAGGGACCTTGCATGGAGCTCTCGCGTTTTAGGCAAAATTCGTTTCCTAAACCCTTGGGTTTAGGGCTTAGGGTTCCTAAAAACACCACGTAACGACGTAAGTCTAAATCAACCAAATTAAGCCTTTCAGCCCTTTTTTTGCATCTGGACTTGGGCAATCGCCACAGCCTTGCAAGCCTAAACGCCCTGAGCCCTAAGCCCCAAACGCTGAACCCTAAACCCCAAAACCCAAACTTCTAAACCCTAGACCCCGCGCCTAAATCCTAAACCCTAAACCCTAAACCCCTTCTCAGCTTCTGGCCGCTCTGATCGGTCGTGAGCAGAAGAGCCGCTGTCGGACACCAGCCAGCTGATGGGAACCCGGCCCTGCTTAGGGGTGTAGGGGTTTAGGGGTTTGGGGGTTTAGGGGTTTAGGGTTTAGGGTTTAGGGTTTAGGGTTTAGGGGTTTAGGGGTTTAGGGGTTTAGGCCTTGCTTAGTTAAAGGAAACTACAGGTGGGGAGTTTAGGGTATATAGGGCTTCTATAAGGCTTCCATAGAGGTATATGAGCCGGCGTCAAAATTGTTTGTTTGTGCTAGGCTCGTTTTGGGGTTAGGGCGTCCGATATCGTTTTACAGTGAATGCAACTTCTAGCATACTGGAGCAAATCAGACACT